CATTTTGAGCCAGATAATTTTATGTTGTTGGGGGCATTGTAGCATCCCTGGTCTCTAGACACCAGATACAAGTAGTACTCCACCCCCCACCCCCTCACCCCCCAGTTCTGACAAACAAAAATGTCCCCTGGACACCAAATCACCCCTGGTTGAGAACCATTGTCTCGGGCATTTGGATGTGCTTAGGACCAAGCACCGAGAAACTGCCCTGCCTTTCAGAAGTTTGTGCTTGTGACAGGCAGCAGCTTACGGCTAGGCTGGGAAGACAGAGGCCGCAGGCCGTGAATTCCTCGGGGTTTAAGAACCACCAGCGAGCTTCTATGCGCCACAGGCACCTCTGAGACTTGCTGGCCTGCACCACTGCAGATTCGCACTACAAAAACGATGTTTTCAAACGAATAGGCCCATACATGCTGGTTTAGAGCTGCATTGCACCGACTCTCTCAACAGCTCTGTGTACTGTCCGTTTCCCTTTCCAGTGGCAGAAATGCCTGAAACTCTTGGTCAGGACCAGGTGAGATGCTGTGTACGGTCCTTCAGAGCAAGAAACACGGGTTCATAGGAACAAGCGGGGAAGACGGCTGCAGCTCCGGGCGCCGGCTCTGCTTCCCCCGCCTCGCAGAGAGGGCGGGTGCCGTGCTCGCCACAGTCCCCCCGCCCCCCCACCCCCCACCCCCGCCCCCCGGGCGGCAGCGAGGAGAGGCAGGACAGATTGGCATCTCCTGGCTGTGATTTCCCTGGTTCTTCATGTTAGTTTAGGGGAAAGTTTTCTCCTACAAAATGACTCCCATGAGCTGTCAAGAGCCAAAAGCACAACGCAACACAACCAAAACCCACTGCCTTCTCAGGAGGCCGAGATAAGATGGGGGGTCCAGTGCCTTTGTTGTCTGCACCCGCACAGGCCAGACAGGAGGGCCATCTCTGGCCCCGCTGCCAGCCCGAGCCCTGTCGAGGCTGCCTCCCGCGGGCCCTGAGTCTGAGGCACCTGGAAGGGTTATTAGCAGGATTGGAACTCATCCCTCTGCTGGGACTAGATCATAATTACAGTAATTTTCTAACAGAGCTCAGCAGTAGGACTGTTTAATCAGCATCGGACTCCCTTGTGCTCCCAGCCCTCATCACTCAAGGAGAGGAGTGGGATGGCTCTTAAAGAGACAGTGCTCGCCTTTCAGCATTTGGAACAGATGTGCCCTAATTGGTAGAATATATCTAAGTCTCGTCTGGGCAGGTTGCACTGTCTCCAACAGACCGCCCCGGGCTCTCACTCTCCGGGGCCTTCTGCGAGGGACCCGGGTGCGGATGTCGGGAGGCCTGGCTTCCCACACCATGGCCACCAGGGAGGGCACATACACAGGGCTAGAGCACTCGTGGAAGGACCTAAACTAACTGCCCCTGCCCTAGCCGGTTTGGCTCAGTGGATAAGAGTGTTGGCCCACGGACTGAAGGGTCCTGGGTTCGAGTCCAGTCAAGAGCAATGTACCTCGGTTGCAGGCTCAATCCCCAGCCTGGTCAGGGCTCATGTGGGAGGCAACCAATTGATGTCTCTCTCACATCGATGTTTCTCTCTGTGTGTGTCTCTCTCCCTCCCTTCCACTCTCTCTAAAAATCAATGGGAAAATATCCTCGGGTGAGGATTAACAAAAAAATTTTTTTTAAAAGACTGCCCCATTCCAAACCTATGGTATGAAGAAAAAAGTGACTGGCTGAAGGGACAGGAAGGAGGGACTCGACAGCCACAGATAGTAATTGTGGCTGGTGGCTCCCCATAACCCAAAGATTACAGCAGCATCTCATGTTCCTGCCCTTCCAGGGGGGAAATCCTTAGAGACTTTCAGGTGGCCCCCTAATTCTCACTCTGGCTTTCCCATCTCTCCCTGCTTACTGTTCAGGCCTCCCCCCCTGCTATGCCAGCACCTTGTTTTCCCTCCTCTGCTTGTGGAAGGGGGCCAGGTCTCCCCTTACTGAAAAGGAGGTAGAATTATTCACTCTGTTCACTGAGTCAGGAGCACTGTCTCCTAAAAAGTGTGGCTCTTGTTGTTCTTCTGAGTATAAACTGTCCATATGTATTGTATCTTGAGAGTTGAGGTTCCAGCACTCCAGTTCCAAAGCCAGCCATGACTAAGGCGGAACTGATTTTACCCAAGTTATTGCTCTAAGACAGCGGTTCTCAACCTGTGGGTCGCGACCCCCTTGGGGGTCGAACGACCCTTTCACAGGAGTCGCCTAAGACCATCGGAAATCACATATATAATTACATATTGGCTTTGTGATTAGTCACGATGCTTTAATTATGTTCAATTTGTAACAATGAAAATACATTCTGCGTATCAGATTTTTACATTACGATTCATAACAGTAGCAACATTACAGTGATGAAGTAGCAACGAAAATAATTTTATGGTTGGGGGTCACCACCACATGAGGAACTGTACTAAAGGGTCGCGGCATTAGGGAGGTTGAGAACCGCCGCTCTAAGATGTTAGGACTGGCTCCTGCTGCCCGGCTGGAAGACAGATGTGTGCGTGTGTACTTGGGCTTCTAGGCAGTTCCTGAAACAGCTCCTTAGAAGGGCTGAGGCAGGGCGTAGGTGAGAGATAAGAGGTGGGTGGGGGGCTTCCATATCGGGAAGGAAGGTACAGTGGTTAGAACAGGAACAGGGACACTCATCTACAGTTCAAAGGGTTACCTTGAGCTGGGCAACGTGCCCTCTACAGAGCCGGTCCCTGCTGGCAGAGGGCCACCTGAGAGGGGTGGCTTAGGATCACTGCCCCAGCTCGACTGAGGAAGTCACTATCTCAGTGATTATCTTCTTGGCTTTAGCCGAGTCTCAGCTGGCTGCTCACACACAAACCCACAGATGCCACTCCAGCCGACTGAATGCTCCTGCGGCCTCGGAGAGGCAGGCCGGGAGCTGGTCTTTCCATTTCTACCTCCAATCCCACCTTGCTTCCTCCAGGCCCACTGTCCTCCTCACCGGTAGGTGTTAAGAATATTCAGCAAGAGCTAAGGCATATAAACAAATTCACAAACTTAATGTCAAAAAGTCACGATCACCTCCCAGGCAAAGCTACCAGAGAGGGCACGAGTTGCCTAGGACTTGGTGTGGATCGAAGGCCTTGGCAGTCAGAAAACAGAACCGTGGAGGAGCTCTGATTTCTAAGAGCAACTGAAAAGAGAAGGGTGGTTTTTTTCTCTTAGTCATGGTGGTTTAAGATTAAAAAAAAAAAATCTAGGGGGAAACACCTTGTCTTATAGAGCTTGGAAAAGACCTCTCACATGAATATATTCTACCATCATCCAAAAACATATTTTTTTATTTTTTCTAAAAGGGAAAGCTTCTTTAAAAAAATATATTTTATTGATTTTAGAGAGGAAGGGAGAGGGAGAGATAGAAACATCAATGATGAGAATCCTTGATTGGCTGCCTCCTGCACACCCTCTACTGGGGATCGAGCCCACACCCAGGCTTGTGCCCTTGGCCAGAATCGAACCCGGGACCCTTCAGTCCGCAGGCCGACGCTCTATCCACTGAGCCACACCAGCCAGGACTAAAAACATATTTTAAAAACCATGCTCAGCTCAGCTCAAAAGTTTCCTCAGCTTGAAAATGAGCACAATACTTGCTCTGCCCTCCCCATTGGGCACCAAGGTCAAAAATGATGTGTGTGAAACTTACGATTTTCATACAAGAAAACCCCCCTCCCCCTCCACCCGCCTACACACATTTCCTTCCACCAAACAAACCAAACCATGAGCTTGTGATCACTCATCCTGAGAAACAGATGACTGGACCTGGGCCATGGAAGTAGCTGTTGGAAGAATGGTGACTACATCAGGCATAGAACCTACCTCAATCCTGAATTCTAACAAAAAAATACTTTCTTTCTACAAAACAGCTCAGTAGGCCACAGAGGTCACCTGCCATGGGAACTAGCCCTGAGTACACACAGGGACAGAATACACCACGATAAAGGCAAATGGCATTGCCTGGATGAAGGAGGAAATCCATTTTTGCTGTTTTTCTGCTAACTGCAGGCTTGTATTATTAGAAAAATTTTTCCGTTCTTAGCACATCTCCTTCCATGGCCTACACTCAACTCTGCACCAGACAGTGAGGGGATGGTGCGTGGCCTTAGATTAACTGAGATGCTGTTATATACACTGCTGTTAATGGATCATTAAAAAAGCCAGGAGTCAGAAAAATTGCATTCGTGTCTTTGAATGGCTCCTGCTGTCCCAGCAGCCTACCCTGCTGGCAGAACTAGCTGCTGAGCACCAACTCCAGACGAAAAGGAGCAAACAGAAGAAGGCCAACCCAGCTTGCTGTTTTTTGGCTGAGTAGGGAATTGACACAGACCACCTCCGGCTCCTGTCTGGAAGTTTTGAGATCAGAGAGCTTCAGGCACAGCTGGGTTCACAGCTGCACCATTTGGAGCATTGGACTCATTAATATTCATGAGTCATCCCCACCAATCGGCAGAACGGATGCCATTAGCTTAGCATCTGTCGGGTTTTTGTGAGGGTTGTGTATGGAGTTTTTTTTCCCCTTTTTAAATGAACTTCTTTTGACATTTTGGATTTGCCTCTGTAGGTTTTCTCTACTCGCCTTGCTCTGCTGCATCATATAAAGCAGAGACTCAGGGGAGGCGGGCAGGAAAGAGAGATGAGTCCCAGCCAGGGCTTTGCATCTGCCTGTTGACAAACTTTATTTCTCTTTCAGCACCTGGCACCTCAGACAGGCTTCGAGGATGGAAGCAGCATCAGGTAAATTATACCTAACAAGGTTCATGCCCATACCTGTGAGAAGGGCTGGATCCTGGCTCTCTGGATCCTCCCTCCAGTAGTGAACTGGAGCTGCACTCAATGCAGGAGCTGCAGTGCACAGCTCTGAACCATTATTTCCACGCTGATAAATTCATGATTTATGAAAGTAACTAGTGCCAGCCTTCCTCCCCTCCTTCTCTGCTACAGCTTGTTAGACACAAATTGCAACAACAGTCTTAAATAGTTGAATTTTATTTCAGGCCAAAGCCCCTCAACTCTGAACTAAATGCCATGACAGTCCCACAGCACAGGCTGGTAAGAGAGCGCAGAGGGACGGCCACGGGGAGGAGTGGGAGAGAGGAACCACACGCAAACCCAAGGGCAGAGCAATGCCGAATGCCAGCGGCACAATCCCCTTCCGGCCCGGCTCTCAGCGGAGAGGAAGGATGGCAGCAGGAGGCAGAACGCTCACTGTCTGAAGGAAGGCGCGCTGTTCCTCATCTCCGGCCCCAGCGCCCCTCTCCAGAAAGAAACAAAGCCCTTGCGCCCCACTGGACCGAACATATGGCCGCCCTGCAACGCCGCAGAGGGGCACTGTAGCGGCGGGAGCCCCGGGAGGCAGGGAGCTGGTACGAAGGGGGAAAAGGGCTTCAAAAAAAGAAAGGGCTCATTCTATCCTGCAGAAAAGATGCTCACATCTCTGCTTTATAACCAGAAGAGACAGTGGCAGCCCAGGACAGCCTTTTCCAAAACAAAGCTCCCTGAGCTGTTTGCCCTTCCTCAGCTGCGAACAGCCACTTCTCTTCTGTGGTGGCCGTGACCCGTTTTGTGGGTCTCAGGCCGCACACAGCCAGGCTGAGGCCTTGGAATATACAGGAAACCCTAGCGACAGGAGTCACAGCACCATTCCATTCAGTGGTATTAGTGGAGGAAAAGCAAGGAGGTGGGAGAATAAATACTCACCACCCTGTCCATGCAAGGAGGTAGGCAAGAGGCCAGCCTCCCAGAATCAAAGTGCTGCAGCAAAACAGAGCCAGTGGGAATACAACTACACAAGCATTTCTGCTGGGACAATATTCAGTATGGCAGCTTAAAATCGGCCACTTACAGGTCCCCCAAACTAGTAACCTGAGGCAGTCAGTGCTCAGGGGCCCATTAACAAACATCTAAATAAACTCAGCTCCCAAGGGAGTAAACACGGGACTCTATTCAAAATCAACAGCCCCTGGATCTTATGTTTAATTTATAAACATCTGCATACTGTTTATTCCTATGGAGGAAATTTAAGTTATCGTCGTGACCAACCTCTATGCAACCAACCTGAGCAGAGGCAACTGTAAAACACGAAGCAGCCCAACCTCCCCAACTGCCCTAGGTCCATCCAATCCCACCCAAGTGCCTGCATCCCCTTGCCTGCGTCTTCTCTGTCCACTTCAGAGCAGAACCCAGAGCTCAGACCAGAACTCACTTTTCTAAAACTGTTTCTAACTGACTAGGATCCAAAGGTAGAGCATGGTCCCCTCCCAAAGACCTCCTCACAGGCTGGGGAGCACAGGGTCCTTCATCAGGTCTTGCAAAATCACAGCATGATGGTGAGGTAGGGGGAAGGAGAGGGGGGCTTTCCCAGGAAGGAGCCTCAGAGTCAACAACAGGAGCCCACACCTCAAAATGGTCCTTTTCTTCCTCAGGAGGCGTTGAGGGAGAACTACTCCTGCCCGATCTTGGAAAAAAGCAGCAACTGGAAGAGTGGGAAAGGGAAAAGAAGGGACAGATAAACAAAATGAATGGAAAAACACAAGTGAAGACAAACAAAAGAATGGATTATTAGTCAGCCACAAAAAGGAATTAAGTACTGATACACACTACAAAATGGATGCACCTTGAAAATATACTAAATAAAAGGATCCGTTTGTATGAAATGTCCAGAATAGGTCAATCCAGAGACACAGAAAGTAGGTGAGTAGTTGCCAGGAACTAAGGGTTGGGGAAAATGGGGAGTCATGCTAATGGGTACAAGGTTTCTATTGGGGTGATGAAATGTTCTAAAATTAATTATGGTGATTAATAGTGGCACAACTTTGTGAATGAACAAAAATAACTGAATTGTACACTAAAATGGTGAAATTTACGGAATGTGAATTATTTCTCAATAAAGTTATTTTAAGGGCAGGGGGAAGATAAAGGACATAAGAAAGCCTTCTCTTCTTTCTCCCCAGGTTTCTAGAAGAGAGCCTGCTACCCAGGGATGGGTACCACCATCCCTTGGCTTGAGTAAGAGAGCCGCACAGGAGCAGGAGAAGGCCTCCTCTGAAAGACTACCAATGCTGTGACTTGACTTTCTCTATCAAATGGACACCTCCCTGACCCAGGTTACAGTAATCCTAGCTCCTCAAGTCTCAGAAAAGAGAGCTTTAGTTACCTCTTAGGCTGGTCTCCTTTAGCCAAGTGAGAAGAGCCCTGCCTCTCTTCCTGGGCCCAGCCGCAGTTTGACATAGCGTAGCGAAGAATGGCGTCAGACACGGTCGTGCGGCTTTGGCCCCGGACACAGGCTTCTATCTCAGGCACGGAAAGCTGGCTTTGCAGGAAGAGGTGTAACTGGCTGTCTGACAGGAGGACAACACTCTGCAGGACCCTGGGGCAAACACAGGTAGGACAGCACGCGGCATCACCCTGAAGCTCTGTTCTCCCCAACCCCATCTTCTCCTTTTTTTTTTTTTTAATGTCTTTTTAGTGATTTCAGAGAGGAAAGGAGAGGGAAAGGGAGAAAGAGATAGAAACAACAATGATGACAGAGAATCATTGGTCAGCTGCCTCCTGCACGCCCCACCCTGGGGATCAAGCCTGCAACCTGGGCATGTGCCCTGACTGGGAATCGAGCCGTGACATCCTGGCTTATAAGTCGACGCTCAACCACTGAGTCACGCCGGCCAGGCCCCAACCCCATCTTCTGAAGACTCTGGCTTGAGTGAGCACGAAGAGTACAAGGAAAGGGTCTACCCCCAATGTATGCTCAATGCGCCACCCCGCCTGTCACCTTCCCCCGTCCCTGCCCCTACCTCAGAAGGCAAGCGCTAGCCTGCCATGTTTACTCACTTTTCGAGGAAGTGCTGCAGACCTTGTCGTCGCTTCTCAATGAACTCATCTGAGCTGCCAAAGAAGGTTGACTTCCCAGGAAGTTCCGGTACAGGCCTGTGGAGTCGCATAATGTAACACTCAAGGTAAGTGTAACATGCAAGACAGTCATATCAGCCCTGATCAAGGACTTCCCCTAAAAAGAGGCACAAATCACTACAAATAGCTTTTAATAAGGTGGCAAGGGTGGGAAGCTAACAATGACTCACTGCATACCAAGTTTCAAGCACGACGCTAAATGTTTTACAAACCTTATTTCACTAATCCTTCCAAACTCCGTGAGGAAGATATCAGTGTTCTCATTTCGCTAGCAAGGAAGAGTCAGAGCAGCCGAGGAAACTTCCCAGTGCCACACAGTTAATAAGCAGCAGAGCTGGTATTTGAACCAAATCTGTAGCTTCAAAGCTCCACGCTACTGCCAGCCTGTGTTGCTCAACCAGGTCAGGGCACATGCCTGGGTTGCAGGCTCAATCCCCAGTAGGGGGCGTGCAGGAAGCAGCCAATCTATGCTTCACTCTCCCATCAATGTTTCTCTTTCCCTCCCCTTTCCTCTTCCTAAAAATCAATAAAAAAAAAGATTTTAAAATATTTAAAACAGCCCTCACCGGTTTGGCTCAATGGATAGAGCGTCGACCCGTGGACTAAAGGTTTCCATTCCAGTCAAGGGCACATACCTTGGTTGCAGGCTCGATCCCTAGCTCAGATCCCCAGCCCCGGTCAGATGCGTGCAAGGAAGGAGGCAACCAACCCATGGGTTTCTATCACATTGATGTTTCTCTCTCCCTGTCTCTCTGCTTCCCTTCCACTCTCTCTAAAAAAAAAAAATCAATAGAAAAACATCCTCGGGTGACGATTAACAACAAAAACCAGCAAGGCTAGAGATGCCCAACTTTTCAGGGGGATTTCCAACTGGCTCATGAAGGCCTGACCCATGACAATGGCCTCATCAGTCCCACATGGTAATTAACTGGCTAGGTCATCAACAGGCCATCCGTCACCAGAGCATTCAGTGACCGCTCTGTGGTGGAAACACTATTCTAAATTGTCTCCAGTTTTTAGATTTATTTGGGAGGTATAGGGGAGGAGTGAACCATACTCTTTCTTAAGGCTCTCAGTCTGTTGAAAAGGTCTTTGCACAGACACACACACACACATATCACAATTTTTACAAGTCAAATGGACAGGATCACCACCTGTCAAGGAAGTCCAGGTGCTAAAAAGTTTCTGATAACCAGTGATAGGCACATTTAAAATGCTAGCAGAACATGTGTTTAGCCCTAGACTAGTACATACAAAAAAAGAAAAATATTTTTTACATTTCTATGGCACTCTTAGGTCAAAAAACCTAGAAATAAGAACTGTTCTTTACTTTTTTCACCAATTGGAAAACATAATTTAAGAACAGATTTCTCAGTTTCCTTAGGGCCTGGCATGTCGCCACGTTTTCCTCAGTGTAAACTGGAATCCCCACGTAAGCACCTAAAAAGCCAGTCTCAGACCCAAGAAGGAAGCAAGAGCAGACTCACACTAAACCAGCGTTTCTCTGTAGCTGCTTTCGCAGCCACACGAACTCACGGTAGCGGCGACGCACACAGGATGTCTTGGCAGTGAAGGCCTTGCTGTTGGTCTACAGGGGAAAGTACATGAAGAGGATTTAGTGGGAAAAGACCAGGATCACACGAACTCCCCGTCATCGCTCTCGCTAAGGATCTAAGCCACCAGGCCACCGTCCCGATCAGGGGCTCCACCAGGCAGCCTGTAGCCAACTCTCAGGCACACCCCAAGCTCTTCTTCCTCTCCTCCCTCCTTTTCCTCTGTCTCGGGCCTGGCAAAAACATCCACCAACAGGGTCTGTCTCAGCACTATCCCGCAGCCCCGGCAAATGTTGATCCCAATACAGAAGTCTGATGCACTTACATGGAGGAAGATCTTATAATCTATGTAGGAATTCCAGGAGCCCTCATTCTGCACCCGGGGGTCCTGAACACGCACAGTGATCACCTCCTGGAGGCAAGAAATGCGCCTTCAGCTTCGGCTCAACCACACAGCACGGCAGCTTGGACAACTCAGGTTGCCAGATTTTTTCCAAACAGACAGCACCAACTTTCATTCATTTGTCCATTTACTCATTGAATTCAACAAATATTTATTGACCCATTGTGTGTCAGGCACTTTTCTAAGACACTGAGGGTAGAACATGAATAAGAGACAAAAATTCTTGCCCTCGTGTAGCTTACATTCTAGTGCAGTCTAAGAAATGGGAAAGTCAGTCAAAATGGAACCTCATTTCCCAGAAATGCCTTTCGTACTGCTTCCCCTCTCCCGGTTTTATTTTGAGCTCATCGAACCACCTAGGTATTACCGTCAGAAAGGTACCAGGAAGCAATGATTTGCCCCTTTTCCCAAATCCCCTCCAACGTTTGCCCACCTGTTCTGTGGAGACCACATGCTTACCTCCTGCTCTTGGTTCTCCAACATCCTACATCAAAAGCCCATTGCAAGAAAACATCTGAGGAGATGCAATGACAAGGGAACAATCATGGTTAGTGTGCTTCTATTCTTATCACTCTTTACCAGGGAAAAAACCTGAAAAACTTTCATCGACCCTCCGGGGAAAACCAGGCACCTTTTCTCATTCTAACGTAAAACTTAAGAGGAAGCAAAAAAAAATTCACCACATTAGCTCTATGACCGCGACAAGCCCTGGGGGATTTGCCTCCCTTTTGAAACCATGGCCAAACCCTTAAGTAGGCCACCTCTAGCCAAAGCATGTTTGGGTCTGTGCAGTGTTCGCCTCAAGCAACAAGATTCCATGGTAAACCCTTTCTGCCTGAAGACTGCAGGCAAAAAGCAGTGTCTTGTGGGGGCACACAGCACAGCTGTGCGCGTGAGCCTACCATCGCCCCCTCCTGGCTGCTCAGAGACAGCCAAACCCCACCAAACAGCAGTGCTCCTCGTCTCTCTTTGTCGTCCTAAACCACAGTCACCTCCCCAGAGATAAGTCAGCGCTGGAGAGCAACGGGAGCACCAGAATGGGTTGCCCAGTGCTGATCTTCCCTTATCTAATCTGTTCTCAGAACTCAAGCCAATGGTTCTAATTATCTCCTTGCTGGACACGTACCTCTGCCCAAACACCCCACAGCTGCACAGGGCGACTCAGGACGTTTTCACTCCTTTGTAAAGATTCATTAAAGCCTAAGCTGCCGATTTCCCCCACTGTGGCAGTTTGCATGTGCAGCGACGTCGCCCACTCCGACAAGGGGACCATGAAGGTTGCAGCACAGGGTTACTCAAGTCCAAAGGGGCCCATGATGTCACCTTCTGTTAAAATACAGCACTAATCTTATTACTCCTAGCACCACTCCAACAGCATCCACCCCTGGCTGCCACCTGCGCCCCCTTCTCCTCTCTTAAGAGCGGAACAATAAGGTTTAATTTCCCTTTTCAATTTACCTTGAAATGAAAACTGACTTCAGCCAATACGTACTGCCAACAAATGATCCCGGCTGGCTCCTGGGAAAACAAGCCTATCTCTAAGATCCCCCTCTCCTCCCCCCATCCCCATTCGCACCCACTCGTTTTTACATTCCCACAATTAATTTTAAACACATTCCCTTATTAGTTCTGCCTTACCATTAGGAGAGTGTGTAATGAGTTTCCTTCTATCTTATGTTTTGCTAACACAAGGCAAATGTTTCAGGAGAAGGGAAACTCATTTACACCATAAAATTTGCAGAGCAAACAGCTTTTCCCATTCTCCCCAGTATACCAGGTCTCTCCACACACAGACACTGCGCTGAGACAAAACTGCATGGTATGTGACAAAGTTGGGCTACACCATCGAGCCGCCCGAAGGTTTTATGATGGCAATGCCATCTTAAACAGTATTCTTGCTGACAATCTGCTTTTTCATCGGATGCAGGCACCACTGCAAAGGGGTCCGGAACGGAAAGGTAGGTGATGCCAATGCCAGAACAACTGATGTGCAAAATCTCGATGTAAGCAGTCAAATGCCCGTGACCAAAAAAGGCCAACTCACTGTGAACCATTAATCTCCTCCGATTTAAAAATATTTCTTTCTCTTTTCTTTTCAGGCGTTTGGTAAACTGCCAACATAGGAGCAGGTTAAAAGATTCTGAAATGTCTTTTCACGAAAGTAACAACAGGAAAAACAATGCCAAGGAAATCATAGCCACCCACAAGCTCGGTGGAGTTCAAACGTCTCCTGTGCCTTGAAAGGTTTGCCAAATTAAGGACTATAATTGAGTAACTAAACGGTCAGCACTCTCGGACTCAAGAAGAGTTGCCTAAGGAAGAGTTTGCACCACTTCCATGTGCAAGTTCCTCTCCTTTCCTTTGGGGCTAATACCAGTTAGAAACAAATAGCTGTGAACTGGCTTTTAAACAAATCCTAGGACCCCAAAGAAGCTGTGTACTTGAATCTAAAATGAGAAGGGCACTAAGAAAGTTTGCAATGTAACTTTCCTTAAAAACACACTGGAACACAAACAAAAACCCAGACGTCAAGTAGTAACTTCCATTCTCCATTCGCTTCCTCCTCATAAAGCCACTCCTCAGAAGGAGATGGAGTTCAGTTCTTTGGAGCGGAAAAGGGAAGTGAACTTTAGCTCTATAATCTGGGAGATGGATCCCTGTCACCCAAATAAGAATAGAGTCCGCGATTATCTCAGCTCCTTACGCAACTCAGTGCTAACTCCATTTCTTGGGTCCATTCAATCCCATCTGAGGTTTCCTCTACTTTCTCCACCTGAACCAGCACCAAGAACTCCAGCCAGAACCCACCTTTTTGCGGTTTACAAAAGTAGATTCTTTGTGAAGCTTTCCAATGTCGTAACAATTCAAGGCTTTAGTTCCACCATTTTCCCGCCCATTTAAACGACTTCAAGAGACAGGTTAAAAAACAAAATAAAAAAACAACCCGGTGGTAAAACTATACTGAGCCACAACGACTTCCATCCCTTCTAACTCATTCTGGAGCCAGCTGGCAACTCAAAAAGCTCTTCTTCCTGAACACCCACCCGCAGGTGGTGGAAGAAGCCTCCCCCGTCGGACCAACCTCCGTGTTCTCACCAACCAGCCGTTCTCCCTTCTTTTGTCCCTCTGTCATTTGCCGATCCTTCCACTTAGGAGGTAAGTCACAGAGACGACCACAAGCTAAAACACTTGCCAATGCCCACAGGCCTAACCGTTTGGGTAAATGTCCCCAAACCTGTTTATTCCGGCCACAAACACACACACACACCCCTTCATTCTTAACACCTAGGAGCAAAGGGCCACATAGTCGTTCTCCTTTGCCTATTGAGCTTGCAGAGTGGGAAGGAAAGATGCTTTAAACTTCTGTACAAATGAACAGAAGGCCTGGCGGGCTAGCTCAGTTGGTTACCTGATAGGCCAAGGTTTCGGGTTCCATCCCAGGGTCAGGGCACATACAAGAAGCAACCAGTGAATGTGTACATAAGTAGAACAAAGTGATGTCTTTCTCTCTCTCTCTTTCTCTCTCTCTCAAATCAATAATAACAATAACAACAATAATAATACTAATAAATGGAAAAGCTGGGTTTCCTCCCCGGGATCCCGAGCAGGTACAGCCTTTATGCAGAAGGTGAGACAGTCCTAGGAAGTCCAGCGAGGTCCCCATCCCAGCGCCACTACTGCCGCTTACGCCCGCAGCCCTCACCGGAGCAGGACCTGCCTCCCCGCACGCCCACCGCCCCCACGCGGCCGGCCCGCCCTCGCCCCCTCACCTGACAGCAGCACCCACTCGACACAGCGCCAGCGCCCCACCATATAGCCGGTCCCCGCTTCTCCTTCCGGGTGAGTGCCGGCACCCCAGTGCACGACGGGAGGCAGCGCCCGGCACGCCAATCCCCGGTGCCCAGGACGCCCCGCCCCCGCAGGCCCGGGCTCTTAGGGGCGATCCCGCTTCCCCCCGGAGGCGCGCTGGGTCCCACCCAGGCCCTGGCGGCAGTCGGGGACCCCGAACCATTTCATCCGGGTGCTGCCGGGTGGACGCCGGTGAGGGGCGACCCGACTCTGAAGTGCCATCCAGGGCCGTGCCCCGCCCACCGTAGTCAGGCCAGCCAATCAGCGGCCAGGGAGCGTCATTAAAGGTCTAAAAAGAGGGGCCGGGGAGCCCGGGGGTGAGAGGAGGCTGTCACCGAGCTCTCCGTTCCGCAAAGCGTGGTCATGAGTGTGGGAGGATCGGGGAAGAAGGCGCCCCGGTTTCTGGAGCCCCGCAAAGTCCCGAGAGTTCGCAGGTGAGCCGGTAGAGTTATCACGAAGACCGGGACTCAGGTTCGCAAACCACAGGTTGTCAGAGCGAAAACGCGGACTGAAATGGATCAGCGACACACGTTTCACTCGCCGAAACAAGCCCAAAGCAGGATGGGGCTGCTAGTTAGTGAGAAAGAACAATCCGTTGAATGCGATGAAGACTTCTTTATGTTGTTGAGATGTTCTTTAACTACCAGTTTAACGATTTTGTTAGCAAAGATAATATCAAGGAGAAAGTTACGGTCCCCAATACAAGCTCCGGGGCTAAGGGCTAGGTGCTATTCCCAGCATCACACTGACCCCGTGGCCTGCAACGGGTGGTCCTAAATCTTTGTAAGCCTTAATGTCCTCGTCGCTAACGTGAAGATTATTGACATACTTCAGAGCAGCTCTTCTCAAACTTGTTGATCTCGGGATTCCTTTGCATTCTTAAAAATCTTTAAAGCCCCCCAAGCAGCTTTGGTTTATGTGGGATATTCACCAAGTTAGAAATTAAATTGGAAAAATTTAAAAGCATTTTTTTGGGGTGGTGAACACACAATACAGGTGATGTATTATAGAATTGTATACCTGAAACCTGTATAATTTTATTAACCAATGTCACTTCACTACATTTAATAAAAAAAGTTTAAATATTTATTAATTAACCTAAAACAATAATAATAAACCATTACATGTAAAGATAATATATTTTATGAACTATAACTACGCTTGTTAATAATTATTGAGTAGAGCAGTGGTTCTCAACCTTCCTAATGCCGCGACCCTTTAATACAGTTCCTCATGTTGTGGTGACCCCCAATTTCATTGTTACAAATTGAACATAATTAAAGCATAGTGATTAATCACAAAAACAATATGTAATTAGATATGTGTTTTCCAATGGTCTTAGGCGACCCCTGTGAAAGGGTCGTTCGACCCCCAAAGGGGTCGCGATCCACAGGTTGAGAACCGCTGGAGTAGAGTAACATTGTATTACAATTTTGCAAATTTCTTTAATGTCTGGCTTAATAGAAGACAGCTGAATTCTCTGCTTCCCCATTCTCTGTTGTATTATATTATTTTGGTCTAGGAAATGAAGAAAATCCTGTCTCACGTGGATTTTTTTAGCCTTCTCTATTGTGGATATCTTTCTTTGATACTAGCAAAACTCAACAAATGGTAATTTCTTAAAGGTTGGTTGCAATGGGGTATCTGAAACCATTTGGGAAATACTGGTTTACTGAGTTATACAGATCTCCCAAATATTGATGCATTTCATTCAATATTTTTAAAAATCACATTTATTAAAATAACCACTGATGTCATCGGTTTTGTGAAGCTGTTAATCTCACTTTGGTGAATACCATATTTCCCAAGTTATCATTGTGGCATGAAAGCTCAAATATTGAAATAGAAATATTTTCCTTGAATGAAAGCTTATTTCATTCAAATATCCGAGTCTGAATAACCATAGTTTTTCTGCCAGTCATTCTTTCAAAAAAAAAAGTTGTGTTCTATTATAAAGAGCAGCTAGTTTAACCCACACATCTCAAACAATTGCACAACCTTATATATTTCAGCAAGCAGCAAAAGTGCTTTTTGTACATCTTCCATTTCATCACAGAGAAGATTAAAAAGACATATTCTAGGAAAGAGATTTCATAACGTTCATCATTTGTACCATCAAGGGTAGTCTTAAGTGAAAGTGGCCTTTCAATTCTTTTTTTGCATAAGTATAGCTGTGAAGAATGCAATGACTCTGCTATAAGTTGATGCCACGCTGCCTTGATTCATGCTAAGCTGCCAGCAGTTTCACCCACTGATACTTTTGTGCCATCAGTGAAAATGTCAACACAATGGAAAAGATCAAGTAATGTCTTAATATTACCAGGAGAATAGTTTTGACCATGCAGACTCTCTGAAACTGTCTCTGGCCCTCTCAGACTCCATGGACTACACTTGGAGAACCACAGAGTATATCTGCAGTATGTATCCATTCACTCAGCGAATATTTATTGAGCCCTTTCTATGAGCAGAGAACTGTTTTTGGCAGTGAGCCAAACAGAAAAATATTCTGACCGCCTGGAACTTATATTTTAAAGAATATACCAACAGCCCTAGCCGGTTTGGCTCTGTGGATAGAGCGTAGGCCTTCGGACTGAAGGGTCTCAGGTGCGATTCCTGTCAAGGTCACATACCCAGGTTGTGGGCTCCATCCCCAGTGGGGGGCGTGCTGGAGGCAGCCGATCAATGATTCTTTCTCATCATTGATGTTTCTATCTCTCCCTCTTCCTTCCTCTCTGAAATCAATAAAAATATATTTTAAAAAAAGAATATACAAACAAAAAAGAATATAAGGGCTTAGCTTTGCATCACCCACTTGGAATATTAATACATTTATTAAATAATTTGAGTGTAATATAGGTTTCACAAACAGTTGATCCCCTATCTCGAGCTTATTTTGTCAACAATTTCCAACACTTGCCGAAACCGGTTTGGCTCAGTGGATAGAGCGTCGGCCTGTGGACTGAAGGGTCCCAGGTTCGATTCCGGTCAGGGGCGTGTACCTGGGTTGTGGGCACATCCCCGGTGGGAGATGTGCAGGAGGCAGCTGGTCGATGTTTCTCTCTCATCGATGTTTCTAGCTCTCTATCTCTCTTCTTTCCTCTCTGTAAAAAAATCAATAAAATATATTAAAAAAAAAAAAAAAAAACAATTTCCAACACTTGAAACCAGGGCCAATCCTTATCATATCAGAAATGCTAGCAAATTATATAAGTACCTCTCCAAGCAGTGATCCCTTCTCTTGAGAAAACTAATCAATGTCAGGGATATGGGTGCATGATTTGAGAAGGGTAGGTTTTATTACCGTCCATTATTACCTGGCAGTCACGTGAGGATCAGACTGATGGGGCGGGAAAGTAAGAGCTCTTAAGTGTATTTGCCTTTTAAAAGAGTGCTTGTTAACCCCAAATGAATAAATCTTTAACAATAGAATTTCAAAGTAGTAATCAAAATGAAACAAAGACTCACACCCATTAGGATGGCTACTTTTAAAAAAAAACAATTGGGCCGAAACCGGTTTGGCTCAGTGGCTAGAGCGTCGGCCTGCGGACTGAAAGGTCCCGGGTTCGATTCCGGTCAAGGGCATGTGCCTGGGTTTCGGGCACATCCTCGGTGGGGGATGTGCAGGAGGCGGCTGGTCGATGTTTCTCTCTCATCGATGTTTCTGACTCTCTATCTCTCTCCCTTCCTCTCTGTAAAAAATCAATAAAATATATTAAAAAATAAAAAATAAAAAAAAAAAAAACAATTGGAAGCATCTAGAAAGGAGAAATTGAAACCCTTCTGCACTGTTGGTAGGAATGTAAACTGATGCAGCCACTGTGGAAAACAGTAAGGCAGTTTCTTAAAAAAATTAGAAATAGATTTACCATAAGAACCACTTCTGGGTATGTAACCAAAAGTACTGCAAATGGTATCTCTCGAAGAATATGTGTGCACCAACGTTCATCGCAGCATTATTCACAATAGCTAACGTGTGAAAGCAACCTAAGTGTGGAACAGTGAAGGGATGGGTAAGCAAAATGTGATATATACATACAATGGGATATTCTTCAGCCTTAAAAAGGGAGGAAATTTTAACATATATGACAACATATATCCATAATGTTCTTGAGAACATTACGCTAAGTGAAACAAGCCAGTCGCAAAAAGACAAATATTATAATCCCACTTACGTTGTTAGGGTCAAAAATAGAATATTGGGACTAGCTATGGTTATGGGAAATATTAATCATGCTCTGTTCACCGTGATTGCCTAATTCTGGTCAAAGAAAGGACATTCTAACCTGGCTGGGAGTTGTATGCCTCTAGGACCTTGGAGTCAACCTTGGAATGTGGTCCATTCTCATTCAAGAACTGCCTATTATCATGGAAAGATTAACAACCTTATCACCCAGTCAATGGAATCCCACCCCCACCTGCATTGCCTACTTCCCCATGCCTGTTTAATGGGTATAAAGTTTCAATTTTACAAATGAAAAGAGTTACAGAGATGAGTGATGGTGATGGTTGCACAACATTATGAATGTATTTAAGACCACGAACTGTACACATAAAAGTGGCTGAGATGGCAAATTATATATATTTTTAATATATTTTATTGATTTCAGAGCCAAAGGGAGAGGAGAGAAAGATAGAAACATCAATGATGAGAGAGAATCATTGATTGGCTGCCTCCTGCATGCCCAACATTGGGGATTGAGCCCAAAACCTGGGCATGTGTCCTGACTGGAAATTGAACCTTAACCTCAATGTTCACCCACTGAGCTATGCTGGCCGGACTTAGCTTACTTTGTAAGACTAACTTGAGTCTCTTGTTTATGCCTCTGGAAATCATAAGCAAAATTTGAACTGCTTCCCAAGATTGATATGAGGTAAGCACTGACCAATTCCCTATCATTTAAGAAAATTCTAGTATTGTAACTAATAACTGTGAAGAATAAAGTCATTGCTTTCCCACTAATGTAATGCTTTACAACAATACACCTCTAAGCCTCATTCCATGTTTTGGTTTGAGTGCTCCCAGTTTACAAACTGTCTTTCAATCTGTGTGCACAGTAAATGTTTACTAATTACTACTTATGAGTCATTGGTTTTTCTTTGGCTATTTCTGAACCTTAGACACAAGCACGGTTTCTGCCTATTTCTGTTTCTTTGGGGTGACTGGTGGCGTGCTCACGAAGATAAGGGGATTCTTTGCTAATGCTATCCTTTGGCACAGCTAATAAAAAGGGTAAATTCAAGATGCCATGATGACACCTACCAGAGGGACCTAACATAGTCTAAAGCAAGCACGTCAAATTTGCAGCCTGAGGGCCGTAGGCGGCCCAATAACGAATATTTTTGCGGTCCAGCCAACATAATGGTATGTAAAAACCGTTTTAATAAAAATTTTGTAACTTAATTTTTACAATATCCTGTTATACATAATTATTAATAATGAACTACAATGTTCGCTGACTGATTACTATAATCGTGTTGCATTTATTTCCCTGATGGGCCTTACTTGCAGGCGCACTATTTCTCTCCACTAATACTAGCAGTGAATACTAGTATTTTAGCAGCCGATTGCCACGTCATTAGTCTTGGCCTGACTTGTTTGGTGTGTGCAACAGGAGACATTTCGCTTTCAGAGAACAAAAAGAGTAGGTTTATTTGCGTTACACTTATTAATTTGTGCAGTTCTTCAGTGTCTGGTAAGTTAATGTTTAAGAAAAAATATTAATTTTTATTGAAATGTTCTATTATTTTATGTTAATGATGACTCATTTACTTCAGTCCTTTGTATTCAGCATGTCTCTATCGAAATACACCTACGTTTCTATGAAAATTGAAGCTTTTGTTTTTTAGCGGCCACATAAACTTAAACCTTGTTTATTTGGCCCGTGTTAGCCTTTGAGTTTGACATGCTTGGTCTAATGAGTCAGGGAAGACCTCCAAAGGAAAGTAATCTAAAGGCTGAGAAGTAGGAGCCTTACAGAAATTTGAGGAGGAGGGAATTAAGGATTTCAGAGATTTTTGGAGATTTTGTAAAGTTCTGGTGAGAAACCTGTTAAGATTCAAAAATGTTGAGAATGTGAATTACTCTCCAGAAGTGGCTCATCTTTCAGACCAAGCATCAAGGGACGTGCTTACAAAAGCACATGTTCTAATTTTCTAGGTAACAAGGTTCTAAACTACACTCCTCCAACACCAGGCAGTTTAAAAACGAAAACTCCCTGAAACCCTCCTAAACAGTGCGTGGCGGCGTAAGACGCGCACAGCACCTTGGGTCTTGTAGTCTCGGAGAGACTCTGTGTCCCATAGAGCAGTGCGGCAGGTCGTCGCGCCTGCGCAGTGCGGGCGGCGGGCAGCGCAGAGTGAGAAGCTCTTTTGTTCGGCTAAGGAGAGGGCCGTTGGCTCGGGCCTGCGGTACGCCGCTTCAGTGAGGGGCTCGGCCGCGGCCACCCGGCCTGTTGCTTTTCTGGGCGCCACTCCTCCGGGCCCCACGCCGGCGGGACGCGCCAGTAGCGCAGCACCGATTCCTCTCCTGCTCTTGGGCGCTGCTCTGAGGTAAGGAGTCCGCTAGAGGCGGGGAGGCGGCGGGGGATGGCGGGGGAGGTGCGCGGCGGCGGCGGGAATCCTGGGTGAGGAGCCCCGGCTCACCGCCGAGCTGGGGCACCGGCCGCGCGCCCTTCCCGCGCCGGGCTTTTCCGCCGCGCGCTGGGAGTCGGACGGCGAGCGCCGCAGGGATGAAGGGGGCGGGGCGGAGCATTCCGAGGCGGACGTTGGAGAGGTTCGGCGTGGGCCTAGCTCTCGCGGGTCGCTCGCTCTTCGCGCCCTGGGTAGACCCAGGCAGTGTTACCTGGACTGGGTGGGCGGCTGCAGGATTGCACCGGAGAGGAGGGACGTGGTGGAGATCGGGGAACGGGACGGGCCGGGCAGCCTTAACGCTTGGACATTAGTGCGTTTGGAGGGTTCACAGCGGCCAGAACCGAGGCTTAGAAGTGAAACCTGAGAACTTGGGGTCTGGTCGGGGCTCCCAGAGGCATTCCGCTTGCAAAGTAACTTGGAGTAAGTTGTAAGGGGTGCCGCGCAGCCCAAGGTGCGGAGGAATGGGTGAGCAAACTGGTGCATGCGATACATGGGGAAGGGGCGAGGAGGAGGGGGGCGGAGGGAGGAGCAGTTATTTGCCTGCCTTGGCTCTCGAGGCGGAAAGAACTGTGAGCGCAGGCAGAGGGGAGGTTCGAGGGTGTGTCCGTAAGGTGTTGAAGATAAAGGGGGGGACCTGGCTGCCCTTCCTTCCGGGTGGGTCGCGCGGGGAGGCTGTAGAAATGATGTGTGAAGGAAGGGTGGTCGGCGCACGCATTCTTCCCTCTTCCAGGCCTTCTGCTGCCTTCACTCCGTGGTTCCTTGGGAAGTGGAAAGTTCGAGTGCAGCTCTTTCAACTTTGGTTCAGAATTCGTCTCTTAACGTTTTTATCTGGGATTGGTACTGGTCGGTCACACAGGGCAGTGAAATGGTAGGAATGTGTAGATGAGCTAACATTTAAGGGGTTACTACGTTACAGTTTGAGGGATGTGGGAAATTGGGAGACAAAGAGGGGGAAGTTCCTTAGATCGTCCCACCCCCAGCCCCTTGGGCTCTTTGTGTTGTTGTTGGTTTTTTTTTTAGCCAGACTTGTTGGGAAATTTGACTACAGAGTGAGCAGTACTTTGCCTCCTTTTCTAAGCTTCAAATGAAGGTTTTTTCATGAATTTGTATAATATTCGGGCATATATTGGTTTAACTCCGTTGAGCTGATGCTGATTCAAAGATCAGTTACACTAGAAGCTCCGGCCCAGAGGAGAGAGCCTCCTCGGTCACGGTAAGAATCGTGGCAGCAGCTTGAAATAGTCCTGGAAGGCCCCTGGCTGTGGAATAGATGCGTGAGTACAACTGGGACAGTAGTGCTTTTGGACATTTGCATAGGAAGTGGTATGATTGAAGGACACCTTGTTGGAATCAGTTGCCCCTTAATAAAACATCAGGAGTGTTAAGGATCTTCCGTCATTTCTAACGTTCCCTGTGGTTCTGTTCTTTTCCCATTGGATGCTGTAGCCTAAATTGTTTCCTTTATCATTAAAAATGTAAATAGTGTGTAGCCAGGTGCTTCTAGTTTCTTGATTAAAGAAGACCAAGCAAGGATGCCCTAGTCTTCTGTATTTTTGACTACAGGATACTAAAAAATTTCTAACCATACATGGAAAGAAAAGAAGCAACCATTATATCTTCCAGTACCCATTTTAGTGAGTAGGGAAATGTTTCTTTCTGAGTTCACACCATTTAAAACGGGAATTGATGCATTTTTGTCATTTCCTAGTCATTTATATTTCAAAATCTCCCTTTTTTGTATTCTATCTCTGGTGGTATAACAGATTTTGCGTTAGACTTGATAGGTTTTTTCACTTCATAATAATAATAATAGCCATTCCCTTTAATAATAACCAACACATTGAAGGCCTAATAGAACTATGGTATTTGAGTGGTTAGTGTCAGTAACCTGGTTTTATTGTGTTAACTGTGAATGCTTTGGTCTCTGCTTTTAATTCCAACTTAGTCATAATTCTGGTGTAGCTTTCTAATAACTTTTGTTTCATCTTAAACAAAAATATTTGCTTCATATATAGCTGTTCTGATATTTGCAGATCCCTGTGGCCTCTCAACCCAAATCTATAGTTTCATTCACATCTACATACTATAAAGGGGTTAGCCAAGTTTCTGATTACATCTCAGATAATATTCTAGTTTTATTCACACATCAGTATTTTAGTCCTAGATCCTGGAATTAGAAGGCAGAGATTCCTTTAGAAAATAAAATCGTTGCCCTGGCTGGTTTGGCTCACTGGATAGAGCATCGGCCTGGGGACTGAAGGGTCCCGGGTTCAATTCTGGTCAAGGACATGTACCTTGGTTGCAGGCACATCCCCAGTAGGGGGTTTGCAGGAGGCAGCTGATGGATGTTTCTCTCTCATCGATGTTTCTAACTCTCTATTCCTCTCCCTTCCTCTCTGTAATAAAATATATTTAAAAAATAAATTAAATAAAATTCTTGTTCACTGGATATGTGGCACAAGTTCTTGTTTTCTGCTCAGTAAAGTTTTCTGTCTGGAAAGCATTTGCCTTACAAACAGCCACAGCTAACAGCCTAAAAGCAGTTTGGAAACATGAATCAGGAGGACTACAAACTGAATATACTGCACCTGCCTTCACCTGCCTTTTGCTGCGTATATAGTTGCTAATGCTCAGCAAAGGTACTTCTTCCTTGTTTTCCATTTAGGGCTAGTAGGTTAGGTGTATCTTGCTGATCATTCCCTAAAAAGCTGACAGCTTTGGACTTCTGTTCCCTGATTATCTGAGTCGGAGACATTCATCTTTATTGCCCATGTAGGGTTCAACACCTTTGAGTGTCTTAAGTGGAAATAGAAACAGAATGCTTTGGGAAATGCAAGGAAAAGAGAAATAATATTCAGCTTGGTTGGGTAGGGAAATAATACTTTATTTGGTTTAGCGTATAATATTTAGCTTCTTAATAGTAAGCAAGGCCATGCATGGAGAAACATGCAGGATATGTTCGGGTTATGGTTTTCTGTTTTGTATTGTTTTTACATATATTTTTATTGATTTCAGAGAGGAAGGGAGAGAGAAACATCAATGTTGAGAGAGAATCATTAATTAGCTGCCTCTTGCATGCCCTGAGGATCAAGCCCACAAACCGGGCATGTGCCCTGACTAGGAATCAAACGGTGACCTCCAGGTTCATAGGTCGACATTCAACCACTGAGACATTCAACCACTGAGCCATGCCAGCTAGACTGGTTTTCTGGGGTTTTTTTTGTTTGTTTGTTTTTTTAATATATTGATTTTTTACAGAGAGGAAGGGAGAGAGACAGAGAGTTAGAAACATCGATGAGAGAGAAACATCGATCAGCTGCCTCCTGCACATCCCCCACTGGGGATGTGCCCGCAACCCAGGTACATGCCCTTGACCGGAATCGAACCCGGGACCCCTCAGTCCGCAGGCCAACGCTCTATCCACTGAGCCAAACTGGTTTCGGCTGGTTTTCTGTTTTGACAGCAGTGTAGGTTTTATGAGGGAAACAGTAGTATAGAATGGTAGGAACCAAAGGAGTTAGATGTTAAATACTGTGGAGTTTGGACTTTAAGGAGGAAGAGGCCTTGTACACCAGGAATCGAACCGCATCCTCCTGGTTCATAGGCTGATGCTAAACCACTGAGCCACACAATCTGGGCTTACCTTTTTATATTTTACTAGAGGCCCGGTGCATTGGGAGGGTGGGCGGCACATTGTGTCCCTCAGCCCAGCCTGCTCCCTCTCACAGTCAGGGAGCCCTGGGAGCCCTCATAGCCATGAGCAGTGACTGAGGGGGAGTGCCCAGACCACCAGGGGGAAGCTCCTATGTTGAGCATCTGCCCCCAGGTGGTCAGCGCACATCATAGCGACTGGTTGTTCCGCCTATTGGTCGATTTGCATATTACCCTTTTATTATATAGGATCTTTAGGTCCTGGCCTTGTGTGTCTTACTATTGGGGACTTTGGGAAATTTTCTTTGCTTCAGTAAGCCTTAGTTTCCTCATTTGTCAAACAGGCTTAAAAGAGTTGTTCTGAGGATTGAATTAAGTGCCTTTATATGCATTAAGTGTTAAGTATTCAATACGTGTTTAGTTGTTATTATGTTATTGTCACTTAGCCTTAAGGGATTCGCAAAAGCCTGTACTTCTTGGGTGTCCTTATATTCTGCTAGCCTGACCAAACAGCTCCATTTGCCTGGTTCTGAGAGGGTTCCTGTGATGTGGAATTTACTTGGTCACCCTATATTCCACCCAGGTTCTTAGTAAATGCTGATTGATTTGATTTGGTTTTTTAAATAGATAGTATTAAAAGCTAGTAGAGCTGTAGATATAAACTTTTATAGCTATTAATTGACTAGGTCTTAAACCTAAGCTAGAGGGGGAAGGAAAACAAAGAATGGAAAAAGAGACTAGCTGAAAGAAAGGATGAAGTGGGTAGTGGTGCGCACAATAATGATCACCTGGTCACTGCCTACCACTCCCCTCAGTCTAGCTCTTTCTTATCTGGCCACGTTTGTATTCCGCATAAAGCAAGCTCTACATACCTTAGGACTTTGAGCCAACTATTCCCTAAACTTGGTGTATTTTTCTGATTTTTGCTGAGTTGTTTTGTCAGTCGGTTCTCTTTTAATGTTACTTAATCTAAAGGTATTTTTTACTAATTTTGTTTTAGATGATCTTTTTAATTTTTTAAAGTTAAATACAATTACTATTTGTTTTATTAATTATTTTAAAGGTCTTTCTTTATTGTTGAAAGTATTACATTTGTCCCTTTTTTTCTCCCATTGACTCCTTATAGCCCACCCCCATCCCCTGTCCCGGGCCCACCCTATTATCTGTGTCTGTGAGATCCAAGTTCATAACTTGTATATGTATAAAGTCCTTTGGTGGATCTCTTCCTACCCACCCCACCTTCCCTCTGAGATTCAAAATTCTGTTCC